ATCATTGAACATTCTAAACACTTTCATAGAGAATATTTCAAATGAACTTGATTATCATTTACTTTTATAATCAATGTGATTAGAGAAACAAAACATTCTATCAAAACAATATTGTTGATTCAATAAATTATTCCAAGATTCATATTCAATAATACAACCATATGAGTGGTATGTTATACAAATGAGAGATAAGAATAAACATTCCTTTGTTATTGTTGCTAGAAATGATTGATTATTATAAAGAGAGAATAATGAATCACAAACAAATTAAAAGAGTATGTTCATATAATTATAATTGATAAAAATTAGAACATCAGAAATCTAACAATTTTATTCATTGTTTGAATATAAATCAAAAATAAATGAAACTATTGAGTTGTTGTAATAGTTGTAGTATTTTCATATTAAAAATTAAAGAAAGTAGTAAAAGAAGAAATTAGAATTAACAATGGTTGTTATTTGGTAAATAAACAATACCATTGAAGAAATCTTCTTGAGTTTTAGCACATACTGAACATTTGTTATCTTCAGTACATCCATAACACTTATCATCTCCACATTCAACACATTTTCCATCTTTCAAATAAGTATTATCGTCACAACGCATACATCTTTGTCCATCAGCTGATGCACGATTACAATGAGCCATTCTAATTGGATGAACATCTTCTTTATTTTCATTAAGTGAATCTAATTCACAGTATGTAGCTTTATGTTCACATTCATTACATGTTGAATCACATTTACTACATTTGAAGTCTTCTGTTAAATAATATCCTTTACCACATTCAATACATTTCTTTCCATCACTACTGTGACTTCTACAATGTTCAACACCTTTCAAACATTTACCTTTGGAAAGATAATATCCTTCTTCACATGTCTTACATTGTTCATATGAATAAACAACACAATGTTCAACATTTTCATAACAATAACTTCCAACTAAATGATATCCTTCTTTGCAAACACTACATTTGTTAATACCAGAACATCCAATACATCCAATTGGAATAACAGGACAACTTGTACACTCCTTTTCATTCCAATAATATCCTTCTTGGCATTTATTACAAGTGTATGGACTATTGCATTTATTACATAATTCAACTTTACATGCTTTACATTTTCCTTCATCTAAATAATATCCATCTTCACAAGAAGAACAATCTAATGAATCTGTATAACTTGTACAATGTTCAACTGGTATAAAATCAACACAAGCCTTTCCATCAAAATGTTTTGTA